AAAATAAAAGTTCATGGTACTTCCACTCAGAAACAGACGGGTTCGCTAGGGCTAGAGTTGCTTCCTAATATAGAGGATTGCTCAAGTTTTTGTTGTTTCAAAATAAGCCCACCCTCTCTGCTTCAAAACTGCTACACAAGCTTTTCTGCTTGTGTAGCAGTTTTTATTGACGTAATTAAATAATCATACTTTCCATGTATTGATATCTTCGTCCATTTCTAGTCTTCCATTTATTCCTTATTTCATTCAGCTTTTAGGTGCTGAGACTGAGTCGCTTACTTATGGCATCGCCGTATGTTGCTAGCGGGTCGTTATCCCAAGAGGATCTTCATAGGATGCTGTCTCCAAGATTAGCGAGTAAGTTTTTCGGTCTTATCATTTTGGCCTTTTTTTGGGACATTTTCTCCTGAGGCTGGCTTGAAAAACCGGATTCATCGTGCAGCTCGTACTAATCTGACTGTTCACTACCTGTGCCATTTTTGGAATTGTATTTGTCTGTTACCCAGTTGCAATAGGTTATCCAAGTAATCGTCGAGTGCTCCCTTGAAATTCTTAGGTACCGAGTGGAAAGTCTGTTTCTTTCAAGGCTTCTGCGCTTTTTTATAAGCGGTTTCTGACGTGCTGTCGTAAAAAACGTAACACGCGCATCATTTCGAACAGATATGCAAAGAGTCGTCTAGTCCTGTTTGTCCCCTCTCCAATCAAGGACGTTAATTTGATCGAATGGTAAAGTTCTAGCCAACTACTGACTGCAGGGACAGAACTGTGAGTAATGTGTAGTCCTTTTACGCGAAATTGCGGACAAGTGCTGGCCGCAATTTAATTCCTCGTTTTTCACAATGCTATCAATAGAACTTTGAAAATGCTGGTTGGCAATTGAACAGTCTAGAAGCAATGAGTTATAAGTGCAACAAACAACTCTTCAGTATTCATCAGTCCACTAAAACGGGGACCATTGTTCCCCTTGTCTTGTGAACATGGTCTACGCGATTGATTTGCGTGCTTTCCTCTAAGAGTTCTTCTCAGCGTTTCCATAAGAAAAATGTTGCTGTTTGGCTATTTTTAAAGATGAATGATGCCTTTGACTTTTTAATTTTTAAACAAGCGCCAGCGTGTTAGCAATCAATACTGGGACTTGTGTAATGTAACATACCGACAATGTTCAAGAAAGACTAGTGTGCTACCCACTAAGTTATTTGAAAAATTTCCTCTCTCAACACAATCACTTTAGACACCTAGGGATATTTTCTTAGCACACACCACCACGTCTACTTGTATATTGGTATCTCAAGTCTTTTCTCGTTACTTTTCAAAAGAAT